TTTCTTTTTTTCCTGTCTTTTTAATGACATTTTGCTTTCTTTACTGATGTTTTTGATGTCATCACACAACTCCTCTAGTCTTTGGGTTGTTGTTGTTAGGTGCCATCGAGTCGGTACTGACTCATAGAAACCTTATGCACAGCAGAATGAAACACTGCCTGATCCTGGGCCAACCTCTCTATTGTTGTCACTGGAGCCCATCAATGCTGCCACTTGGCCAATCCATCTCATTGGGGGTCTTCCTCTTTTTCTCTGACCCTCCACCTTACCAAACATGATATCCTTCTCCAGTGACTGGTCCCTCCTGACAATATGTCTGAAGTAGGAGAGGTGAAGTTTGGCCATCTTGGCCTCCAAGGAGCACTCTGGCTACACTTCTTCCAAAACGGATCTATTGGTTCTTTTGGCTGCCCATGGCACTTTCAATATTTTCCTCCAACACCATAACTCAAATGCATCAATTCTTCTATGCTCTTCCTTATTCACTGTCCAGCTTTCGCATGCATATGAGGTTATTGAAAATACCGTGGCTTGGGTCAGGCACACCTTAGTCCTCAAGCTGACATCTTTGCTCTTCAATACTTTAAAACGGTTCTGTGCAGCAGATTTGCCCAATGCAATCTTGTATTGGTGTCGAATGTATCAAATTGGCTCTTTAGGTGGTCTCTAAACTTATATGGGATATACTTAAGGTCATATTTTGGCTCTGTGGACTTGTTTTAATTTTCTTTAGCTTCAACATGAACTTGCATGTGAGCAATTGATGGTATGTTCCACAGCTGGCCCTTGGCCTTGTTTTGGCTGATAATAATGAGCCTCTGCATCATTTCTTCCCACAGATAAAGTCAATTTGATTCCTATGTAGTCCATCAGGTGAGGCCAATGTGTATAGTCACTTCTTATGTTGTTGAAAGAAGACATTTGCAGTGAATAAGTCATTGGCCATGCAGAATTCTGTCATACAGTCTTTAGCATAATTTTCATGACCAAGACCATAGTTTCTAACTGCTGATCCTTTCCCTTTGTCCCCAGCCTTAACATTTCAATCACCAATAAATACCAATATATCTTGATTATATGTTTGATCAATTTGAGACTGAAGAAGTTGGTTACTTTTACTGTTAAGTGCCGTCAAGTCATTTCCGACCCATAGCGACCCTGTATAGGGTTTCTGAGGAGCAGCTGGTGAGCTTGAACTGCCGACCTTGAGGTTCAAACTGACTTTACAGTCCAGTGCATTAACTCACACTATCTCACTAGGACTCCAGTCTTCCTAGTAGGCATCTGGAATTATCCTATCGCAGACAGTGTTGTACTTTACGATAGATCTTGAAATGCAATTTTTGATTATCACTGTGACACTATTCCTCTTTAATATGTGGCTCTTGGCATAATAAACCATGGGATGATCCATTTCAAAACAGCCAATACCAGTTCATATCAACTCACTAATGCTTGGGGTATCAATCTTTATGTGTTCTATTGCATTTTTGATAACTACAAATATTCCTCGATTCATGTTTCATACATTCCACTTTCTGATGTTAATGGTTGTATGCAGCTTTTCTTGTCAGTTTGAACCATGCCCCATCTGTAAATGACTGTCCCCAAAACTTTATTCCATTCACATCATTAAGGTCATCTTTACTTTGAGGAGGCAATTCTCCCCCAGTCATATTTTGAATGCCTTCCAACCTCAGGGGCTCATCTTCAGGTATTATATTTGACAATGTTTGGCTACTATTCATAAGGTTCTCAATGGCTTACCATTCAGCAGTGATCCCCCTTTCCTTTTTCCTAGTCTAAATATGGGAGGTCCACTGAAATGGATGAGCCTGCTGGTATTTAAAATACCAGTGGCATAGACACATCACCACAGTGTCAGACTGTGTCAGACACATCGCCACAGACTAACAGATGAGTGGTGATATTAGTCTCTGGTGGAAGAAAACAAAAACCAACTAAACCTAGGTCCACTGAGTTGATTTTGAATCATAGCAAGGGCCACACACAACTTTCTTTCTTTTGTGGAGCTTTTGGTGGGTTTGAACTGATGAGCTTCTAGTTAGCAGCTCAATGCCTAGTCCTCGTGCCTCCAGGGCTCCTCTTTATGAAAGAGATCCATTCATGTATTCATTATGGGGCTTGTAGGTGCCAATAATGGTGCTTAACATGAATATGTTGAGGTAAAAGTCCTCAGCATTTTATGGGAGTTTATAATACAGAAGGAGAAGGATGAAAATAATCAGTGCACTGGCATATGAGCAGGGGTAATAAAAAGACTAGGACCACATAGATTTGACAGCATTCAAAGCTTGGTAGGGCTGCTCTGGTTGATTGTGTCCTGTATTCCACTCACCAGTCCACCTGAATCCTTGATCCACTCTGGTAGCCTAGCGGTTACGAATTGGGCTGCGAACTGCAAGGTCAGCAGTT